CTGGGTTGAGCATCTGCGACGTCTGGCTCTGGTGCTGGAGCGCCTGCGCGATCACAACATGAAGATCAAACCAGCCAAGTGTTACTTCGGCTATCCTGAGATTTCGCTGGTGGGTCACCGTGTGAGCAAGGAGGGCATCGCGACCGAGGAAGAGAAGATCGCTGCAATCGAGAACATGCAGCACACGTCCATGCAGACGCAGAAGGACATCCGAGCCTTCCTCGGCATGACCGGCTACTACCACAAGTTCGTGCCTGCATATGCTCACATCGCCGCCCCACTGACGGAGCTCACGAAGAAGGACCTGAAGTACACCTACTCAGAGCACTGGACCGATGAATGCACGACGGCTTTCGAGGTGCTCAAGGGCCTCCTCTGCAGAGCCCCCATCCTGGCCTACCCCGACTACACCAAGCCGTTCATCCTCAAGACAGACGCCAGTGACGTTGCCATCGGTGCAGCCCTGACGCAACGGGATGAAGCCGTCGGCATCGATCGACCAGTCGCCTACGCCAGCAGGAAGCTCCGCGGCAACGAGCCAACCTACGCCGCACAAGAGAGAGAGGCCCTGGCTGTCATCAACTTCATCAAGTACTTTCGTCCGTACCTGTATCGCGTGCATTTCACGGTCGTCACCGATCATCGCAGTCTGCAGTCCCTGCCCAAGGCGTACGAGAAGGGGAATCCACGGCTGCTCCGATGGTCCGTCTTGCTGCAGCACTACAGCTTCTCGGTCATCTGGAAGCCCGGCAGAGAGAACCACCTGGCTGACGCCCTCTCACGGGTCCAAGCATCGCACTGGGACCCTCTCCCGCGGCTCCAGGCGCCAGTGACGGCCCAGGACATGGCACCTCGTCTCATGGCCTCCCTTGCAGCTGATGAACCATCGGTGGTGGACCTGGACACATTCAGAGAGGAACAGCAGAAGGACCCCTACATCAGTGCGCTCATTCTCTACCTACAAAGTGACTCGAAGGACAGGACGCTGCCAGACGACGAGGCGTTGGCAAGACAGGTGGAGCTCGCGGGACAGATGGGCCACTATGACGTGATCGACGGGCTGTTGATGAGGAAGCCCGACAGAGGGAGGACGCCCATCCCCAGGGCGCCACGTATCGTCGTGCCACCCTCCCTCCGCATGCTCGTCTTCAGCAACTGCCACGACTCACCGCTGGCGGGCCATATGGGGGTCGTGCGCACGATCGATCGCATCTCCAATCGCTTCTGGTGGCCGACGATGAATGGTGATGTGGCCACCTGGGTGGGCTGCTGCCCCGTTTGTCAAGCGTTCCGTCCCCACCGCAAAGAGAAGTATCCTCAGATGCCCCTCCCCATCCATGAGGATGCCTTCTCGTCGGTTGCCGTCGACTTCATGGGGCCGTATGTGGAGACGGACAGGAAGAACCACTATATACTCGTGTTTGTTGATCAGCTGACGGGCTGGCCTGAGGCTGTGGCACTCCCCGTTGCTGACGGAGAGTCGGTTGCGCAAGCATTCGTCGATCTCATCGTCGCTCGGCACGGTTGCCCTCGACGCCTCTTGTCCGACCGAGGCTCCCACTTCCTCAATGAGTTGGTTGACGCGGTGTGTGCCATCTTCAGGGCTCGTCGCATCTTCTCGTCTTCGTATCACCCTGAGACGAACGGACAGGCGGAGAGCATGGTGAAGAACATCAAGAAGGTCCTGTCTAGGTACGTTGCTTCTCACCGGACGGACTGGGACGTGCTCCTTCCCCTCATCCTCTTCAGTATCCGCACGGCCAGGAACGAAGCCACCGGCATGTCGCCCTTCGAGGCCCTCTACGGACGAGAAGCTCGCCTGCCGCTGGACGTCATGGTCGCGTGGGAGCAGCCCATCGTCATGAGAAGGAACGACTACCGCAAGGTCCTGATCCAGCAGCTCAAGGCCGTCCAGCAAAAGTGTCGTGCCAATCGCGACGCAGAGCGGGACAAGAGGATGCGGCGATCGCCACCCGTGCCGCCCAGGGAATACAAGGTCGGAGAGAAGGTGTGGGTGACTGTGGGGGATCCAGCGAAGAAGGGTGCCGCCTTCGCGCCGCGATACACCGGGCCGTATCGTGTCGTCAAGCAGATGGAGAACTGCCCGATGGTGTATGTTGTCCGTCCTGCAGGAGAAGGGGCAACACGCAGCAAGCCAGTCCACATGCGCCGCATGCGCCCCTACCTCGACTTACCCCTCTCAGACAAGAATCGTCCGCTCTTCAGATATCGGCCAAAGGACACGCACGTCGGCTCAGAAGCAGGAGAAGGGGATGGACAGCCGGACGGGCCTGCCCCTCAGCCACCACAGTCATTCCCGCCTCAAGAGGACGATGGCGCCGGTGGATCGCTGGGAGGCGGACACGGATTGGCTGAGGACGCTTCTGCGGATGTCCCTCCACCCATCGATGCCCTTCCCCCGGCAGACGAGCAGGCTGCCGGCCCAGCCGATCCACAAGTCGAAGAGCGTGAAGAGCATCTCAGTGTGGACGTCGTTCCCCTGGATGCCGTGGTTGCCGATGATGCTGTCGGACTGCCCGTGGCCGGCTCGGTGGAAGACCCCAGCCCGGTTGAGTTTGAAGCTGATGCGCCTTCCGATCCAGCTGACCTCCCGTCATCTTTGGCTGCCTCTGCGCTGGATGCCGACAGCCCACCCGTTGATCAACCTGACCCACACACACCTGGACATCAAGGCGATGGATTGGATCATTCACATGCACGTCCTGTGGACCCGCCCTCTTCACAGGATGACTCATCTTCGGCTATCCCACCTTCCTATTCATCCAATCGTCGCCAGCCATCCGCCACTCTATCGCCCCTGGACTTGAACGATGATGTGTACATGGAGATTGAGAAGCCACCCATCCGCGAGATCATCCGCCACACCCGCACCGCCTCGCATGCTCGGTATTACGTGCGTCGTGAGGGTCGTTTGCCCGCTTGGGAGAATGAGAGCGAGCTGTCTGACCAAGATGCCCTCCGAGCGTATGAGACCGGGATGGCCTTCAATGACAAGCGTCAGAAGAGGGCAAGGCGGGCCATCACGGCTGCTCCACGACCCATGCAGCTCCGCTCTCGCAAGGGACGCTGACCCACCTGAACAGTCACCATACGGCTATTTGTCATCAGCCAATGAGCCATCTGTGGCAGTGTGTGTCATGTGGGTCACCGGGATGTGTTGTGTCTGGCCGTTGGTGATGACCGGTTCGATCTCTGTCGCGCTCAATCTCCGTCGTCCTCGATCTCCTTCGTCCTCGATGTGCCAGTTCGATGCCTATGGGATGCAGGGTGGACACGTCGACATGTTTGGATGTTCGCTTCCTTGGATGTTGCCATCTGATACTCACCGCTCTGATGTCTTGACGCGTATCTCTTCGTTCTCGTTGGCAACCAGCACTTCTCGCGACACCTGGAGTGCACAGACCACATCTCGTTTTAAGAGCCATGTGCGCCATCCCTCTTGGCGCGTGCTCGTGGCCCATCTCTGCAGTTTTGACTTTCCCTCGTCTGTTGATCCACTTGATGCCCTATCTGGAGTTCTTCTTCCTCGCTCGGGCGCCCAGCTGACCACACGCCCCGCTGGCTGCCCTTATGCTGTCACTTGCCTACCTTGCCCTTGTCGGCCGACTGGAGGCCATTGCTGTCGTCCTCGATGTCCCCTGCCGTCTGAAGTCGTCATCATAATGCAGCTGGATATCATCTGAAGAGAATGCCAGTCAAGGACCGTGCTCAAGTCGGTGCAGAGGCTTTTCTTCCTCCTTCCTCACTGTGCGTACCTCTGATCCTGATGGTGAAGCCCCCTGTCCGTGCTGAGCGGCTTACTCTGGACTCACAAGTGCCCTGAGTCAAGTGAAGGCTCTTGGACGTGTCGACCTCTCGTCTTCTCCCGGAAGGACTGCTCTTTCTGCCCATCCCTGGTGTCCGCTGACTGACCAACGACACACAGCACACCACTCGGCTGCAGACGACTCGGACGCCCCTGATCTTGCTGCCTTGTCTGTCATGGCTCACCTGCCTTGTCGATATTGGTTTTAATGAGGACCTTCCCCCTCACCTCTCTGCGTCAGTGTCGAGCGCCTCTCCCCTGGCCTGACGATTGGAAGTCCCGAGGGACCTGCTGCTTCACTACCTGGTGCTGTTGTCGACAACGCCTTGCTACTGGCGTCGATTTTGCCTTCCTTTCCTCGCTCTCTCGCTTCGCTGCCTGTCTGCGAGCTTTTGTGGGCTGCCTTCCCCTTGTTTCGCGCTCGAATCCATTGTCGAAGCCGTGTGCCTCGCGCTTGACCGGCGGGGTTGTGTTGCGAAGTGCTCACGATGCCCTTCGCCCCTGTCTGTGGCCCTGATGAAGGCGCTCGGCTCAGATGACTGGAAGTGTGGACGCATGTGTCTGGATGTGATGGACGGATGGATTGGATGCCGTGGACCGTGTGCTGATGGAGAGGATGCAGCCCTGGATGAATGGATGGATGGATGGAGCTGATGCTGATGGATGACAGGCTGAAGGATGGTAGCCGTGTGTAGGCAGGCAGGACGACAAGCCGTAGATGGGCACAGGGGAGGCAGCCAGGGAAGATAGAGGGCTGCTGATGAATAAGAGCGCTAGATAAGCCTGCAGTGCATGCATGCGTGGGCCTGGGGGCGTAAGACGGGAGATAGCAGAAGTTGGCCAAACGAGTTAGTGCCCGTTGCGTTTCATGATTGTTATCGTTCGCTTCCGATATGACCTGAGTCATTCTCTTGAGATCTGTTGCTTCGGCACG